GATCTGGTCCATTGATTTGAGTTTTGTTTCTTGAGAAGCTGCCCGGTAACTGACCGACAGACCTGTCATGGATGGTGAGGATCTGATGTCGATGACACGCGGTGGTGTTTAGAGGCGTTGGATTGTGATTTTGATTTAGGGTGAATTTGGGTTGAATTTGTCGTGAATTTAGGGTTTTTCTAGTCGTGAGGGCCCAGTGGAGTGATGAGGTGGAGGGAGAACAGCTGGGTGGTCCGGCGTAAGTAAGAAGTTAACGCGCATGTGATAATACCGTATGCATGTGAGGGTAATTGAGTCATTTGATATCTGCATCGAGGGGAAGAATGATTGGAGTGGCGGAAGTGAGGTTTCTGCTTTAATGTGATAAGATTACAAAATCACCCTTCCCCACGCAAATATAAAAGGCAGGAGTTCGTGTTTTTCTCTCTGATTTTCCCTTTTGGCAAATATATCAAATTTTTGTTTTCGAAAGTAATCATTGAATGCAGTGTCTGAAGAAGAAAAAGAATAATATATGAATTTGATCTCAGGCAAATTCAGTGCAGTAAAGCATCACTGTGATTATTTTTTAAATTATTTTTTATTTAAAAATATATTAAAATAATATATTTTATTTTTAAAAAATTATTTTTAATATCATATATTAAAATAATTTAAAAATATCAAAAAAATATTAAATAAAAACAATAAAATAATATATCATGTACTTTTGTTGTCATTATTTTAAAGTATTTTTATTTTAAAAATAAATTAAAATAATATTTTTTTTATTTTTTAATATTAACATAACAAAATAATATAAAAATATATAAAAAATTATTTTGTAAAGAAATTCTATTTAAAACACTATTCTAAACGCATAAATATGGTCCGACTGTGTTTTCATGGAGGGAAAGTGAAATTTTAGACTCCCTCTCCCTCCGTTGCCATTGCATTCGTTTTTTTTGGTTCTTCTTTTCGGGAAGGGGGCTTTGAAGTTTTTGTTTATATTATTACATGGGTCCTCGCCGCTTATAATGTCTAAATAAATACAAGGGGGTGGGTTTTACTCTCCTTTCCCCCCCTCGGAGTTCCTCCCTCGAGGGACTCAAAACAGGTGCCGCTGCTATGCATCTGTAATATTCTAGGGTTTTAAAGGTTTGAAAAAAGGGCAAAGAGCAGTGCAAGTGCCATGAACATCTCTACTGCAAGATGTAGATAACATTAGGAAAAGAGAACTGACCACAGTGGAGTATTTCTTGAATTGATGGCATCTGATGATGAAGCGGAAAAGCAAATCTTACATCATTGCTTCAACTGTTGGCCATGTGATGTTGATTTTGTGTGAAGAAATCCGTCTTGCCTTCTCTTCTCTCTCTCGGGTGGTGTTCATGCAAGTGTTAAATTGAACGACAAGCTGTCCTTTTATTTGTTGAAGTACCGGGTCAAACCCCCCATTGAGATCGGCAGAGAAATCACGAGAATCATCATCCATTAACTCTGTCCTTTCCTAGTTCGGCCAATCTGTCTCTTCCTTTCTATCTTGTGCTTGTTTTGTTTCCATGGCAGATCTACATATAATCTATTTATCCATATCCATGTTCCTGTTTATCAAATTATAAAGCCGAAATCAAGGACGCTAGCCAGGGAGGTTGATTTGGAGTTTAATCCGAGCTAGGTTTTATGATGATTCAAACCGAGTGAAACCCAGGGAATTGCAGCCCAGTGCAAACAGTATTCTTTTAAATATTTATTTTTTTATGTTCTTGAATTATTTAGATGAACGAATATCAAAAATAAAATTTTAAAATAAAAAAATATTTTGATATATTTAAAATAAAAAATACTTTAAACCACTGTTATCACTTCTACCGTCTAAACATAGCCATAGTTAATTCAAGTAGTATCCAGTCCACTCAACTTTAAATAATAAAAAAGAAAAAAAACTAAAATAACATTATTTAAAATGAGATACAGTTGATCTGAATGGAATTAAGAACGGAATGGAACACAAGTCATGTCCCACAGGTATGATTATTAATGGAGATGAGGAGTGCTTCAACTTTCAAGGATGTTTTTCGATTCAAGGACAAGGGTATTCTCAATGTTCTTTGCACATTTAAGATGACAAGACACATGGAAGTCACATTCTTCCACTGGACTTGAAGGATGTAACATGAAAATCAACTGGTCTATCATCTGTGTAAAGTCTTTAATTGCTTGAAGTAATTCTTTGGTCAAATATACAGTTTTAGCCTAGGATCTTGACGATTTTATTAAACACACCTGGACAAGTTAAAATCTTTGAGCCATGAACACAATCAACGAGGCTTCCCTGTTTATTCAGCCTCGTGTAAGGTAATAATACATGGAGACATCCCTATTAATAATAAAAAAAAAGGGGGGGGCACCAGCTAAATTAGCAAAGATCCATGACAGAGGGAGGTAATATATGAGACATCCCTATTAATAAAAAAAAAGAAAAGGGCACAAGCTAAATTAGCAAAGATCCATGACAGAGGGTGGGAGACTTGGATTCTTCTTCGATCACTGCACAGAACAGTAACTCAGCACAACTCACAGGTCAGGTACTGGAATGTCACTATTTGTACATGGCTTCAGAGAATCCGTACGAGTTGAAAATCCCGCCATCCAAATTGTTAAGAGTAAAAAACGAAAAAGGAAAATGACACGTGTCGGCTTTCCCTTAGCCAACCTTTTAAAGCCTCGGGGTTTTCAATGTATAAATATGCCTTTTTCTTACCGTTGTTACTCTTAGAAAAACTGTCGAAATGTAGGGTGAAATGAAATTTTCAGGAGGTTAATTTGTCATTGTTATTATAATAACTACAAGAATAATAATAATAATAATAATAATAAATTGTTAGATTTATTAAAAATAAAATTTTATTATTTTTTATTAATAATATTTGCAGTCTAATATCATAAATTTAGGTAGCTCGATATTAGATTTTTTTAATAAAAAGTGTCATGTTTCCTTTAAATTTATTGAATAGATTAATTCACATAGTTAGCTATTATGTATTTTATAAAAAAACTTGAGCCAAACAAAGATACAAAATAAAAAACTTAAAGATTTATTTTCTTAGCAGAGTTTATAGCATTGTAAAAATATTTCCATACTCTTAATAATTTTTTCTATTTTTTGAAAAATATAATTCCTCCGTGGCGAAGCGCGCACAAATTAACTGAATCAGTTTAAACATTAAAGGATGAACGTGCATGGCCATATAAGTCAATCAAATTGGAGCTGTAACCATATTATATTCTTCTTCTTTTTTTTTTAATTCTCAATTCTCTTGAATCTTGATCACAGCCACAAGAAAACTGGGCATGTTTATATACTCATCAAATTCTTTTTCAGCCCAAATTTTATGAATATGTTAAAGCTGGTGAAAAGGGGCCCCATTGTTCTGCTGGCTTTTTTCGTTTTACTGTTTCTTCAGTCAGAAGAGTCGAATGTCAAATGGCGACGGTGATAGGACAATATAATGGTCCTGTCCTGTGACATTTGGTCCGTTTTCCAGGACCCTAATGACCAGATGTTATGTATTGATCCCAAAGCATAGACGAAACGGTCCAAAGTTTGTTGCTTCAAATTTCATGTTTGTTGAGTTGTCTATACAAAGAAAACAATCGTCTTGCTCTGACAATTCTCTTTCTTTTCCCATCTCGCAGGTTAGGTTAAGAGGTTTTGGAATCACAATCACATACTTAGTGCTGTGCTGTGCTGTTCTTGTTTCACATCAAAGAGGAGCTATGCATAATTCACTTGGTTTTTAAAAAAAAAATCTTACAGAAACACAAACATTAATGCATTTTTTTCTTCTTCTTGACGAATGAGATCATTGTCTGGAAAAGGATTCTCAGTGGTGTGAGCTGCTTCGCTCTGGTGTTTGATTTGGAGAAATGGCCCAAGAAAACTATGTATTTTGGAGGGCTAGTGGTTAGAGTCAATATCACAATTGGATGCATGTGGCATCTCTTGTGGATGAACTCGACAGAGAGATCTTGAGGTTGCATCATGGTATCAGGCAATAGGTTTTAATGAATCTGACGATTTTCAAACTCAGATTCCTCCACATTTTAGAACATATTCTATGAGTATTGATTCCATGATACATTATTGTTGCCGGCCAAACTAATTTGGAAGTGCAAAACTTATGGAAACTTCACCGCCATATCTGTATACTCCATTGCTGCAGAATCTATGCACTTAAGACATAAAGAGAGACCATGGATATAAGCCTCGAAAGCAAGGCCAGTGAAACTTTTTTTTGACAATTCAAAAATCAGAATCCCCCAAAAGCATGTCGAGATTTTGAACATTTTGACAGCCAGAAATGATGTTGTGTCATTTGCAGGAATCATTGAGAAGCTGCTAAAATCTGAGAAGTGAGTTGGATAAATGCTTTGGCAAGCATAGTGCTGACAGGAAAGGGTTTATGAGCAACATAGTATACTAGTAGCATTCAAAATCTCATTTTTGTGTAAATCGTGAGTTTTGGATTGATGAAGCAATCCCCATTTATATATGTGCAGTGACTTAAATAAATTGAAGTGTCTAGATCATAATAGCAGGTATGCTTTGCCTAGTTTTATTTTGCTGGGCAGCTGGCTTGGCCTTACTAGCTAACCAAATACTGTTGTTATACGTTATATAATTCAGTTTCGATATGTTGATAAAGTTTTTGGTCTATTCCTAGCACACAGCAGCACAAAGTTCTGAATTATCCATGCTGAATTTCGTGAAAGAAAGTGTTGATTTCTTCAAACTTCAGACCTTGTCAAGTTACATCAGTTTATTTTTTAAAAGCATATTGAATCGACATTTCATCTCTACCACTCCAGCTGCTAATCTATATGCAAAAGGGCAGCATCTGATATTCATTATGAAGATAAAAGGTAAATGGGAAAACTACATCCTGAATGTGCCAAACCTAAATGCACTAGAAAGATACTTCAAGATCAATAAAAGATAAATTTAATCCAAAAAAATATATGAATGGATAATATAAGATAGCGGAATCATATTGCATGCTCATCAATCAATTGTTTTAACTATATAATCAAACAAACACCTTTACATGTGTCCTAATATAACACACATAAAACCTCTTTGTGCCGTCTAATCACAGGCATCATTAGGTGGCAAAATACAACTGCAGGGTCACAGCAGCACTCATCCAAGAGACATCAGCAACATAAAGCTGCCAGACTGCAAATCACATGTACAATAAAAAGAACAATCTTTAGATCATCAACATGACAACTACTACAGAGTTATGAACATGTAGCAAATACAGAATTCATACCATCCCTCAAGAAAGCCTACTTGCCGTTGTGGCGGTCCCATCACGGGAGGCGGCGCTTGATAAACTCATGCATCATATTATTCTGGTCAAGAAAAACTAAAATTGAAAAAAAAAAGAAGAAGAAGAAAGAAATTGGTGCGCGTAGCTTGCTTAGGATCCATTCAATTCTGCCGATTTATTTGCATCTGTAAAACTAGTTTGTAAGCAAGGAAGCTGTCATCTAACTGTCCAAGCTAAGATTGGATTATCATTAGTACCATGATGACAAGAAGAAAAAAGTGCTCAGTGCATGACTTGGGATTAAATGCTGACAATGATGCATCTGTATGTATGGTGCAACACGCAAGTGCCTTAATTGATGACAGTAACATACAACCACCAGTACTGATGACAAGGAATTGTCGTTCAAAGAGGAATAGGAAAGAAAAAATAAAACAAGTAATACCTTGAGGGGGGTGCGGATAACCATATTTGGGGTCATTCATATTGGCAAAAGACGAAGAAAAAACCAAATAGAGTTGATGGAAGATGGGGTTTGTGGCTTAGACGCTTGGCCTCTTTATCTGTGCAAGAAAGCAGAGAGAATATCTTGTGAGGAAAGGAACAGAAAGCAGCTCCAGAGAGACATATCTGTCTAGCACCCCTAAAAAAGTATAAACTATGCATTGGATGAACTGGAACATGTCCATTTCAGACGGTTATCCTCTGCATCTGTGATGATTTAAAATGCTAATGAACTACGTTAGTGTATTTTTTTAAATGACCACTGGGCACTTTGTTAGTTCAGCTGTGTTTTAATCGGTGGATACTGGGGAAGGATAGATATCTACACTATAGGCATGCAAATTGGAAAGCAATCGTGTTGCTCTAGATTTTAAGTTCTCCTTAAAAGAGGCCTCAACACCCGTTAAGATTGCTCTGTTCTGGTCTGTATCCACTGTGCTAAATATTCCTACAGAAATGGAAAGCTTTCACATTAGCTTCCGGTTTGTAAGCGCGTATTAGTGGTCTTCATCAGGAATATTGAGTCCCTGCAGCAGATGTTCCTTGCACACTGTAAGCTTGTGTGGTTATCTTATTATCATGGTTGGAGGCCGAGTCCGTTCGGCAATTCATAGTTTTTTCTGCATTTTTCTTTTCTCTTCGATAACCCAGATTAAAACTGCGTTTAGTGAAACCCTGGATCATCAAGAAATGATACCCATGTTTCCATTTCTGCAGTACTGTTGATCACTCGCCACAGTGCTTTAACACCTGAAAAATGTCTCTCTCTTAAAGTGACTGATATATATATATATAAAGAAACGATTCTCTTAGTTATGCTCTCATCACTTTACAGGGAATTCCATTTCACTTTATTCCCTTTTCCTCTAATAGAACAAATTATACCTTTCATCTTGTTGGCCCCCCTTGTACAGCTCAACGTTTCTAGACATTCATGGACTATATGCATGCATTTTCTATTGTATGTCGTGTTTTCATTAGTAATGTCATGCAGGCCCTGCATTTTTTAGATATGATAAAACTGATGTGTAAGATGAATACGCGAAGCTTTCACCATGCATTTTGGCTCTACTAGCTATGCTTCTGAAAGGCACCAACTACCAAGCAGTATCCTCTTTCTTTGGTGAGCTATGAACCTTGGATGTGCTGTCCTGTCAATTATCAACGTAATGTGCAAACAAAAATACTTTTTGGAAATAGAGTGAGTCTAAATCCAATATTTCAAATTTTAAATCTACACCAACTGTTTGTGCAATCTACTGTGGAGGATCAAAGTACACAAAAGCAGTGCATGAATTATTAAAGGGTGTTGATACCTTGTGTTCATATTGCAAAAATTAAAGCAGGTGAACATTTTTATTTATATAAACCATTTACATAAAATGAATTGATCTTTATAGAAGATGTGAAAATTAAAACCTTTGAATATACGAACGATACCTGTAAGAGCTCGCACCATGCTGTAATTATATTTCAAGTCCGCATTACGAGCACAGATTGAGCGGATAATGAAAAACTGATAATTTACCCGCCTTATATTGCAGTTTGGATAAAAAAAAAATGAATGTAAACAAAAATTAAAAATTACTAATGTGGTTTTTAGTAAAAATAAAATAAATTATATATAGATTGATATGATATAACTTAGTTGATTTATCAGGTTTAAAAATAACCTGAACAAATAATAAAAATATAATTTCACTTAAAAAAATTCAAGATGAATTTTTTTAATGTTGAGACAATAATATATTAAATCAATCTGAATCAACTTGGATTCACCAGTTAAATCCATGATCTAGATAATGAGATCATAATAATTTTTTAAAAAATAAATTAAAAAAATTATGAAGTTCAATTTTCAATCAATTCAATATTAAAGAATAAAATTAAAAAAAATATTTAAAAAATTCAAGCCTACCGTTTTAACCCACCAAATATATGACTTAGATCATAAAACTTAAATAACCTCATAGAAAACAAATTACTTGTAACAAGTAATGACATGTAATCTCTAGTAAACATAATATTAGATAAATTATAAAAAATAAAACATTGTTATGTGAGAAAGTGAACAATGAATTTATCTTTACTTTTATTTATTTTTTAATAATAACAACAACATTACCAACAATAAATAAGTGAGAAAACTATTTTTGGAGGAAAAATTTCCATTTCCTTATTAATTTTGTATTTATAAAAACTTATTTTTAAAACAAAAATTCATTGTAATGTAAGATGCAAGTTTCCTAAAAAAAAAAAAACAATGTTTTCATAATCTATAAGTAACTATATGAAAGAAAAAAAAAGAGTCAAAGGATAATTAATTTATGAAAACGATAAAAAATTAACAATCAAAAGACTATTTAATTCATATTAGGCTAAAATATATTTAAAAAAAAACAATTGCACATGCATATACATATAAAAGTGTATTCTCATATAGTTAAAGCTCATTATGACATAAAACATGTAGATTTTCTCATTTTAAATCAATACATTCTAAGATAACTTTAAAAATAAAAAATCAAATCAATTTACTTTTTTTTTTAAGAATGTTAATTAGCAAAACACCATCATTGAACTTTCTTACTCAAGACAAACACAATGACACTAAGTTTAGCTTTATTATGGCTAAAACATGACAAAGCAATTTTTTCTTTCTCCTTGTTATTTTTCAATAACTTTTTTTTTTTTCAAAACTCATGAACTGAAAAGTAATAAAAATAAAGCTTGGGAATCAAAAAAGAAAACTATAAAATTTAAAGGACTAAGTTATGAGAAAACAAAAACATCAAAGACAAGGTTATATTGTACCCCAAGACTTATCAACATTGTTTATGTCAATACAATGCTACAATAATCATGTGAACAAAGTTGTTGAGTCTTAGGGTATAATAAAATCATGTTTTCACGTAGCATGTTAAACTATGATGATATAAATAGTGATGATGAGTTTTGGGATATAGTAAAACCTGGTTTTAATGTAGTATATTTTATAATTATAATTATAATTAACAGAGAAGTTAAATTGCGTAGCAAAAGTCATGTTCATAAAGACTTTTGAGATGGTGGAATGGAACAGTACCTTAACCCAATATACCCTTTCATTTTTTGTTCATGCTCGGTCTCTACTTTTCATGCTAAGGTTCTCTCATGCTTCACATAACTAGGTTTGCTATTACAACTTTTAGGGTTCCTTCGAGCATCATGACATATGTTATTTAACTATATTGGCTTGGCTTGATTTAGGCTTTGATTGTGAGATGTTATTGTTTTGCTTTTTTTGTTGTGTCAAGGAATTGTTGTTGTGTGCTGAGTTTGTTGGAGATTGACTTGGCTTTTATACTAGTATTTTCGTCCTATTTAGGGTCCAGCTTAGCTGACCTTTCTTCATTTGTTTCTTAGGATTGTTGGGTTATAGAAAAAGTTTTTTTTTTATTTTTGCTTTGGCTTCATTTTTTCTATCAATTAAGAATTATTATACATTAAATGAATGAGACAATAACATCATTATACACACTTATTTACCCTCACATTAGGTCTCTCTCCAGCATTGGGAGAGTTGTTATGATTTACCTGGGGAATAACATCACATTTGTTTAAGACAAAGATTTCCACTCTCAATATGTGATTTTGTTGTGCCTTAAGTTGTGCTCTTCTTTTAGTCTAACAAGAATTTAGTTTTTTTTTATTCGTTTTAAGTTTGCAGGTAAGACATTTTGTTTGTTTGTTTACCTTTCGTTGTCTCGGTGTATATGATGGGCTTTTATTGGAGGTGTTTTTTCTTTTTTCTTTTTATGGTTTTGTAAATATTGACATGTCAATTCTTGAGTTTTCATGGAAATGATTTTTCTTAGGGTTGAGTTATAAGGCTTCCAGTATGCCTTTCATTTTTGTGTTTATATTACTTTCAAGTTTATGCATTACTCTTTGGTTGTTTATTGTTGCACCATTAGTTTAGTCATTTTAGGTGTTATATGTGTCTTTTTTTTATTATAAAACTTATTGTCATTCACTACTATCATATTGATGTTGTTACTGAGGTTATGATCTTTATACCAGGTTTTTGCTTAGTTATTTTAAACATTCCTCTCATTATGCATTTTATACACATCCTCTACATTAACGTTGGTGCTTTCTACAAGATTTAGCTGGGATACAATGTTATTTTATGTCGGAATTTGTATATATTTCTTTTATTATTGAAGGATGGCCAGCTTTTTTTACTTTCCTTGAGTTCCATTAGCCTTAAGCTTTATATGTTGCTTTCTTGTCTTTTCTTTTTTAGTTTTTTTTTTATTCCTACCTTCATTGCATCTTTAATATGAATCTTGTTGTACATTTATTTTCAACAGCTTTGTTGAGCTTTTCTAATTTTTTTTTTCAATCGGATAGTTGTTTTGTTGGGATTATGACTTGCATGTCTTCCTCTACTACTCTGTGTAAGTTTTTCTCATTTGTTTAGGTGTTGATAGGTCATGATTTTCTAAACTCCCTCTTTTAAAGGCTATCACAAGAAAATCATAACTCAAAATAGGGTTATGTTTTTTGAGTGCCCAAACTTCAAGTCAGGTTATAACACATCCACGCTTAGCTCGAAGTTAAGTCATGATATGTCCACACCTGAAAACAACAACACATGGATTTAGCATATAGGTGAACCCAACTCCTTCTACAGCTAAACCCAACCACACTTGAGTTCAGCGTGCAAGTTGAACTCATCTCATCTTGGATTCAGTGTACAAATTGAACCCATATATACCTGTGTTTAGTGTATAGCTAAAAAGTAACCCCACTCTAACAAAGTGTAGAAATTCAAATTGTTTGTTTGATTTCTTTCTTAGCTAGGTTTGATAAGTTTGATTGGCTTCCTTTTGGAAAAAATAAAATAAAATAAAACCTTGGTTGTAGGTCCATCTAGGTAAATAAATGTTATAGGTTCTATTGAAAAACTATTCATTCACCACACAAATGTCTTTGGAATTGTGGTTTGGTAGTTAAAGAACAAAATATAAACGATGACCACAACATTTAAGTCTTGGAATTTTAAAAAACAAGGAGATAAGGTGGCAGTGACTTAGTTCTACGCGTCCTCAATCAAGATAGAGAGCTAAGGGATTTTATTACTTTTCTGAACATGAATAATTTTATAAGAACTACATGTAGTTGAGT